CTGGGCTCCATATGTCACGCTGTGAAGCGTATATGAGGTAATCTGCTCCGATACCACTTGTAGGATCTCTAGTTGCCCTAGAGGGGGGGGGGGTAAATAGGCTTGTCAAAATAAACATTCACACTTTTATCAAATTCACCATGCGGCACTATCGTTCTGGAGGGCGGCACTGCCGGACCGCGGCACTGCCGGACCGCGGCACTGCCGGACTAGAACAGCGGCACTGCCGCACCTGCAGACAACTTCGAGTTACAGTTCAAAATTAGTGAACAAAAACTTAGATCGGAGAAATTTCTTAGCCTACTGCAGGTATGATAGTCACATATCAAGAGCTAAAAGTTGTAGGAACACCACTCATAAGTAGATCGACTGGAAACCCTAGAAATCACCTCAACCAACAATATAAAATGCAAGTAATGTAAATCAAGCACAAGTGACACAATGATTTATCCCGTGGTTCGGCTCGCCACCAAGGCTTGCCTACCTCCACGTTGTTGAGGTTAGCCACTAAGGCTTAGGGCTTTCCAACTCTTCCTCGTTCTCAAGTCAAGAGACTTAACTCTTGAGATGAGGGGTGAGTTTACTAGCTTCAAGAGATGGTTATAAACCTTCTGGGGCTGCCACACAAGTTGGCAATCTCCACAGGCGACGCTCTAGCCGGCTAGGAGCCAAGCTCCAAGAGTAACAAACACAACCACCGACCAAAATGTGGACCAAGTGCTCTTTTGAGTTGGGGAATCAATGGAGCTGCTCTCTAATCGAGTTATGGACCCTTTTCTCTCAAGGATTGATGGGGAAATCAAAGGATTTGCTTGAGGGCTCAAGGTCAACAATGGAGGGAGAGAGAGAGGCTCCTTTCTATTTTGGATGAGCTAGAGTGAGGAAGAAGAGGCAGAGAGCCGTTGAGGAGGAAGGGGAAGAGTATAAATACCCCCTAGCCCCCAACGGTCACTTAAGTCGTGGTAGTGCCGCGTCTCAAGTGCGGCAGTGCCTCTCTTCAAGTGCGGTAGTGCCGCACCACGCAAGACAGCAAGGGTAAGAGTGAAGTGTAGATTGTCTTGAATGTGAATCTAAGAATGTATGTGTATGTTTGAGCACTTGATAGCACATATTAGCTTTAGCATTGTGTCCTCCTTTATAGTACGGCTTTTCTTATACTCAAATTTAAAATATAAAAGAATTTAAATCTCCTTTGAGTTTGAAGTCATCAACATTTTCAATTTGAGGGCTCCTCCGTTTCGTGTAGCATCCACGAATATAAATTCCCTACTTGTCATCTCGATAAATCTCATTAGTTCTCTAATTGCGTGGTCATTATCACCAAAACCTATAATTAGGGCCTGATTGCACTTTCAATCTTCCTCTTTTGGTGATTGATGACAACCCAATTAGATCTTACAAAAGATATGAAATAAATACTAAGATTTTAGAGCCATGGGTGTAGAGCCTCTCCCTAAATATGTGAATAGAGAATTGAATTCTCAAATTGGTATAAGAAGCCAAGATTCACATTTTAGTAAAAGTGATGGGGCTCCCCCTACATCCATGCTCCTGTGGGGTGCTACATACTGTGTCAGGTTTGTAAAACATGATGCAAATGACAGTTTATGCACAACATGGTTTGCTGTTGCAGCTGGGCGCCGCACTGCCGCACTTGCTGTAACAGCACAGATCAGAACAGACACCACACAACATGTAATACATATAAAGATATACATTCTAGCACAATTGTATCATAAACGACAGCATAGATTAATATATGTCCATATCCTACACATATATAAAGTAATTAAGTAGCATTATTACATAAATAGAGTTTGTAATGGACTCTCAAACTCTCACCTAACGAAGACTACTCTAAACGGATACAAATATGACTCTAGCTACAGCAACCTCCTCTCCATGGCATCGAAAAAGTTGTTGACCCCTCTAATTTTCTCCCCCTTTGGCATAAAGCACCAAAAAGAGAAGAAAAGAAGAAAGACCAACACTCACTCTTCATCTCTTGGATAGTGTCCCAATCAACATTATTCCCACCAGCAGCTCCACTAGCACCTGCAACGTCCTCCACTCCACCATCATCATTGTCGTCGTCGTCATCGGAGGAAGAAGACACCACCACCCTCCCTTGGTGATGAGTGGTCGAAGTGCCCGAACCAATATAAACCCTTGTATCCTCCGAGCATACCATCCGAGCTAGACGCGTAAATACAAATTTACTCGTCGGTGGTCCGAAAACACCGACAATTATAATAGCCGGTTGGCCCAATGCAAGATTCTGATTACGGGCTACAACTTGTGCTCCATCCTTACTTCAAGGTTGTGAAAGATGCAACTGAGCACTAGAGGTTACACGCCGAGCTGATGGAATCGTTGACTTAGAGGCTGTTTGCACTGGCTACAACTTATGGTTAGTCGTGGCTAAAAATTATTTAGTTAAAAATTAGGCAGCTAACTATTAGCTAGTATATGTTCCGATCCTCGACTTTATGAGAAATATTGAGGGCTAGAGCCCAAAAAGCCAGATCCAAGGCCCAACCTATATAGTGTCAAAACGCTATATCATCAGGTTCCACTGATGTTCAACACTTCGCTCAAATGGTGAAGGTTTCAATCAGAAGTTTACTGCATAATTTGACTACACCAGTTGTGTCCTTGTATCTTAAAAAAATGGATATCATGATACCATTATATCAAGAACACGTTTCCAATGTTTACCCAACCTAAAATTTTGGACTGGTCCACCACCGTAGCCAACTAAAACTAGGTTGGTCTTGGTCCTTTCCTATCATCCTTCCTCATTGTCGACTCTGCAATTCGCATCCAAACTACAACAAAATAGCTTGCCAACTTGAGTCCTGACCTACTAGCATAATGCAGAGTGTCCATTGTAATCCATAAGATGAATGGTTAGAGCATCTCCAAAAGATATTTATCTTCACTTAGTTATCCACTCCGTTCCAACATACTAGCTATATCTCTAGGAGAAATGAATTGAGTTTGGAGCAACACAAACATGTCACTAGCTATCAGCCTCACATACACTAAAATAGCAAGGAACGCCGGCTAGCCAAATTTAGCTGTCGAGGTTCACGGGATATCATGACAAATCGCATTAGCTAGTCTATTAGAGGCCAATTTTCTAGAGCTTTAGCTAAAAATAACAATAGCAAGTTAGATATTCGTTCTCTCTTGAAAGTACAATGGCCTATTTTTCCCCTCCATTTCCCGTGGTGTCTCCCTATGTTGAGCTAGTAACTCCATCGTTCGTCGCCATGATGGTTCTAGTTAGGTCCTGCAACGATAAGATTGTATCACCAGCTTTAATATTAAAACATATCAGCCCAACAAACGATCATCTTAGCACTTCCAATGGAACCGCAACAAAATAGCTTCCGAACTTGACTCTAAATCCTAGCTACTACCATCACCCCTATAAGAATAGGATTTAAATAATTATGAATTTGACCAAGTAGATATAAACAACTATTGATATTTACAACATGTAATAAATATTATTATATTATTTATAGAATATATTTTCATAACAAACATATTTAAATATATAAATATTGCGTATAAATTAAGAATTATTTGATTTCTCGTCAGGGCGGAGGGAGTGCATAAAACCAAATCTAGAGAAGAAAACGCAGAATTCCAAAATGGATTGTACCATGGAACAACAAAGTTGTCAATAAAGGCGCGCGTTAACTGTCTCCAACAATCGCGACTCAAAATACAAGACTCATTCGTCCTTTGGGTAGCACTACAGGCAAAGGGTTCAATACATATTTTTTGTTTTCTCCAACAATAAGACCCAAAAGACAACCCTTTCTGCAAATTGGTCTCCAGAAGAGAGGATACTTAAATTTAGGTTATGCCTCTCCTGGCATCCAAAATGGTTCTTTCATATAAGTACTCTGTTGAAAGCTATACGTATTATGTTAGAGATCTATTTTGAATTTAGATTTCCCAACGGATCTCCTGTTCTCCGCTCGCCAAACCGTAAGAGCGGCGACGCCATAACTGCGGCGTTTATTTTGCTGTGGCGCAAAAAATGAACAAAGCTGTTGTAGTCGTGTTGTGGCATGCCGCAAATATAGAAGCTAACCGAACGCCTGCCGTAAGTTAGGCATGAGAGTTATGGCGCGGTACCCAACCAAACACCCTTAGCATTCTCCATCGCGGCACGAGAGATCACACACTCAAATCAATTATTAGCTACCATTGACACACACAGGCGTACGCCACGTAAGCCGGGGGTCCAAGTCCAATACACGCACCAAAAACCACCAATGATATACTCAGAAAAAAAAGTGCAGAAATGCCAAACCGCTGTCTGTAAGTGGAAAACCCGGAACCGTCCCGCTGCGGCGCTGCCGCCTGCCGTGTACCAGCGAGAGCGCAGCCCGCGGCCGGCACCGTTTCCCTTCCAGGGGCGCCAGCGGTTGCTGTAAAGCGGGCACACACGCTCCCTCCCTCCCCTCTTTTTTTTTCTCTCATCAAGTACACCTATAGTATCTGCTTATATACAGATTCACACTAACTCTACATATCGTATTCACACCATACATACATAAATAAATCTATAACTATACTCAGATCACTAAATCACGTCCTCGTTACATCACCGGGTCCATCCACAGACAAATAAGCGATGGGACGTGTCGTATTGTGTTTGTGGCTCCACGTGAGAGGCAAATTTATTTGGGGGCGAACCCGGTGAGAGACGCAGTTGCGATTCCTGGAAATCGAACCCGCGCCGGCTGCAAGCCCACCGACTGTGCTAGCATTCCGAGCGCTGCTCGGTTCTCCTCCCTCTCCACTTCTCCAATCTCCACTCCACTCCCGACTCCCGTTCCCCTCCCAATTCCCAAAAGGCCAAAGCCCCCAAAACCAAAGCCCTCCTCTGCTCCTCCGCTCTGCTCTGCTCCGACCAAATGCGCGATTAGCGCCGCCCGCGAGATCGATCCCCGCGCGGCCAAGGATCACCCGCCGCCATGGCGTCCTCGCAGGGGGAGTCGGTGCCCCTGTGGCTCAAGTCCCTCCCTCTGGCGCCCGAGTTCCGCCCCACCGCTGCCGAGTTCGCCGACCCCATCGCCTACCTCCTCAAGATCGAGCCCGCCGCGGCGCCCTTCGGCATCTGCAAGATCGTGCCACCGCTCCCGCCGCCGCCCAAGCGGACCACGCTCGGTAACCTCTCCCGCTCCTTCGCCGCGCTCCACCCGGACGATCCCACCCCGACATTCCCCACCCGGCACCAGCAGCTTGGCCTCTGCCCGCGCCGCCCGCGGCCTGCGCTCAAGCCCGTGTGGCTCTCCTCCCACTGCTACACGCTCCCCAAGTTCGAGGCCAAGGCCGGCGCCTCCCGGAAGGCGCTGCTCGCGCGCCTCAGCGTCCCCGCCTCCAAGCAGCTCTCGCCGCTCGACGTCGAGGCGCTCTTCTGGCGCTCATCCGCCGACCGCCCCGTCGTCATGGAGTACGCCAGCGACATGCCTGGCTCCGGGTTCGCCCCCTGCGCCGCCCGCCCGACGCAGCTGCCCGCGGCGAACGTGGGCGAGACGGCGTGGAACATGCGTGGCGTGGCACGGAGCCCCGCCTCTCTGCTGCGCTTCGTGCGGGAGGAGGTGCCCGGCGTCACGTCGCCAATGCTCTACGTCGGCATGATGTTCAGTTGGTTCGCCTGGCACGTCGAGGACCACGACCTGCACAGCCTCAACTACATGCATTACGGGGCTCCCAAGACGTGGTACGGGGTGCCGCGCGACGCTGCACTCGCCTTCGAGGAGGTGGTGCGCGTCCATGGGTATGGCGGGGAGGTGAACTCCTTAGGTGAGGCGCCCTCATTGCATCGTTTTCCCTCTTCTCTGCTATTGTAACTGTCGCTTGATTTTGCATTTCGGAATTGCGATCTGGGGTGCAGAAACCTTTGCAATGCTGGGTGATAAGACGACGGTGATGTCCCCTGAAGTGCTCGTGGATTCAGGAATTCCCTGCTGCAGGTGTTTCTACTGCTTCCTTCCTTTACCGAATGACTTCCTTTAATACCTTCGGTGGTTGATGAACGGTTGGTTCTGTGTGTCGGAACAGATTAGTTCAGAATACAGGGGAGTTCGTGGTTACTTTCCCCGGAGCATATCACAGCGGGTTCAGTCATGGTGAGTGATCTCAAAAAGTTAGCCTCCATGAAAATCTTCCCTTTAGTTTCAAAAAAAAAGGTTAGCCTCCATGAAAATCTTCCCTTTTTATGTTGCAGAGAGCAATGTAGAATAATGCCTGACTGATTAAGTCATTATATTCTACTTTTTTTCTGACTCGTTGCTTAGTCAACTATGCCAGCCCGAATAATGTCTTAACGTGACCCCATTTTATCACTAGATTTGTGGAACTAGATATGCCTCAGTAAGGTAGTTTGGCAAAATTTGTGTCCACGTGATGTGGACTGATTTATTAGGAATGGTATGGTGGGAAAAAAGCTCCTTTTTTGGCTTAAACATTCAAATTTGGTAGATACGTTGCGTAACAGATACGAGGTGTAACGGAAGAAAAGAAAACGACAGTATCTTCAGATTGTTTGAGTTTTAGAACGGACTGTAGGACATTTACGCTTGGGTTTAACATTTGCCAATAAAAGGAAACTATTTATTCTTCAGAAACTGAACTGTTTCCTTTCTGGTAAAGTTCTTCAGTTTCACCTTTTACCTAGTAGATTTGTTCATGCAACTCTGCATTGAGTCTTTGTAAATCCATGCCATATAGACTGCCAGACTGGTCTGTAGTATGCAAATGCAAGGTACATGTCGCCGAAATGTAGCAGTGCATGTGCATATGGCTACATTAGGATTTCCTTCTCTATCACATGCTATTGGAAAAGTAAGCTTAGGCTGTTATTTGGTCACTGCTTTGCTGTCTATTGTGGTTAGTACTTCCTCCAATCAGCTTATGAGGGATTTTTTTTTTTGTATGTATGTATGTGGCAGGGTTCAATTGTGGGGAAGCATCAAATTTAGCCACTCCTGAATGGTTGAGAGTTGCAAAAGAGGCAGCAGTCCGGAGAGCTTCCATCAATCGTCCTCCCATGGTTTCGCACTATCAGTTGCTCTATGAACTTGCGCTGTCATTATGCTTGAGGTATTCATCACATTTTGCATGATTCATAGTGCAGATTTTTTTTTTCTTATGAGATAGTTTTTGGCCTGCTGCATCCCGTTCGAGGAAACAAAAAAGAAAGAAAAACTGATTTCACTGCCCATTTTGGCTGTAGTGCTTGTCTTTTCTTGGGTTCAACTTCCATCATTTTATCAACAACAGTAATAGGTGTGCTATAAAGAACTTCCATCTGATTAGTTACTTACATAAGGCTCTATTCTCAGTGGTGTCTATGTCTGATATCTCCATTTGAGTTTCTGCAATACGAGGCAATAATTTGCATTAGATTTTCTGCTTTCTTATATTACAGTAACCATGTATCTGTTATTGGAGCTGCATTCTTTTCTAGGTCCTTCTATGCTGCAAGAAGTCTCTCATTACATGTGTATATGGACCCTTTCTATTTGATTTGGTTTGAACTTGTACATTTCTAGGGATCCATCAAATGGAGCTATGGAACCACGAAGCTGTAGATTGAAGGAGAAGAAGAAAAGTGAAGGGGACCAATTGATCAAAAAGATATTTGTGCAAAATGTTATTGAAGACAATAAACTGCTTGGTCATTTTCTGAGTGATGGGTCTCCTTGCATTATTCTTCCAGTCAATTACAATGATGGCTCTCCACTATCAACTTTGCTCTCAAAATTCCAGTCAACAACTGATTCCAGGATATCGCATGACCAGTGCAGTAAGACAGAAGCTCTGAAAGACTCAAGACGCTTACCAATGGATGGGGCTGACAAGAACCGGGAATTGTCGTCTTCCAACAAAATTCCATTGTCAGTCTGCTCAGGAAAGACAGTCCCACCTACAACGTGCATACATGACTGTGCAAACGTGTCTGGCTCATCATATGCACATAATGCAGAAAGTGACAAGGGGGATATGCACAGTGCTGCTGGGTTTTTAGACCAGGGTTTATTATCCTGTGTCACTTGTGGGATTTTGAGTTTTTCATGTGTGGCAGTGATCAAACCAAGGGAATGTGCAGCAAAATGGTTGATGACTGCTGATTCTAGTTTGATCAATGATCGACTTGCTAGTTCTGGAGCACATCATATAGATGCGTTACAAGGTGGGAGGACAACTGGTGGAATTTTACGTAAGTCATACTTCAATTTGCACTGGACACGTGCTGTATTAATTCTTCTCCCATTTTTGAATTCTGAATGACCTTTAGTTCAACCTCTGGTGTTTTAGTTCTGAGTTATTTCCTTTCATTTTTGTTCCTAGTGTAGTTGTTGGACTTTATAGTTCATTTCATATTTCAAATTGCAATTTAATCTTAGCATCTATTAGTTCATGGCATAAATCCATCTGATGCATGTATGTAATTTTAATCAACATGCAGGATCAGATGCTGAAATGAATGGCAACAGTGTGATTTCTTATGCTGATGCCGTGCCTCTCAATGAGCATTCTGCTCTTGATCTTTTGGCATCAGCTTATGGAGATCCATCAGATTCTGATGAAGATGTTATGAACAAAAAAGATCAGGTCCCTAATGTCTCCAACGAATTAATATATCGCACAATTGAATCACAACCCAATACTTCAAATAATGGTGATTGTGATGGAACAAAGGTGTCCTCGAGTAGTAAAGAACGCCAACAAGGACTAACTTCCCAGAGCTCAAAGTGTATTGGTAACTCAAACACCTTGAATGGACCAAAAGGGGTTCGCACTAGAAATAAGGATCTACTTAAGATGGTGCTTTCTGAAGGTTTTCAACCAAAAGACATATATTCGGAGACACATAAGAAGGTTCAGTGTGAATCATCAAGCTCAAACAAGACTTCAACAGAGAGCCCTTGTGGCACAGATTATCGTGTTAGCCATAACAGTGCTACAATCTGTATGGACAGCCACAGAGGTTCTATGACTATGGTGAACAACTTAGTTACATCAGTTGTGAAACCTGATAAGGATTCATCAAGAATGCATGTATTTTGTCTTGAACATGCTATTGAGGTTGAGAAGCAACTTCAAGCTATTGGTGGTGCTGATATTTTTCTTTTATGCCATCCAGGTCAGTTACTAGACTTGCTCAGTCGTTACCCTTTTTTAATGCAACACAATATGTTCCTTTTTTATCAACCATTTTGAGCACTTGCTTCATGATCTTCAAGAGTGCATGAGTTCATCATTGACCAAACTATTACACTTTGAATACATTAACACATGTGCCATTGGACATATTGTCCTACATTATCAACCTTTCTGATTTGAGGGCACATTATACTTCCATTAGCTTTGGTGAAGTGAGAATAGTAGGTTCAGACCTTCATTGCTCCAGATCATAATAACACCAAACAATGACCACTGCTTCCTAGGTTCTCAAAACCTTAAATGACATATTTGTTATCATTTGTACAGAATTTCCCAGAATAGAAGCAGAAGCAAGATTGCTGACTGAAGAAATGGAATTTGAGTATGATTGGAAGGATATTCTTTTCAAAGAGGCCACTATTGAGGATAGGGAGAAGATACATGAAGTTGTGCGGGATGAGGAAGCAATACCAACAAATAGTGATTGGGCTGTAAAACTGGGCATTAATCTTTACTATAGTGCTAATCTTGCTAAGTCTCCTTTATACAACAAGCAAGTGCCATACAATAGAGTTATCTATGAGGCATTTGGTTATGGTTCTCCCAATGACTCACCAGTAAAGCTGAAGACTTATTCCAGAAGGCAAGGCCGGGCGAAGAAAATAGTCTTGGCTGGTAGGTGGTGTGGGAAAATATGGATGTCAAACCAGGTTCATCCATACCTGGCTGACAGAATCAAAATTCATGAGCCGGAAGAAATCGATGAAACCTTCACTTCTGATCAGAAATCCAATGCTGAACCTGTTGAAGATTCAAGTAGAGAGGCAGCCTCCACAAGAAAGAGTAGCAGCAGGGCAATCGAAGGAAAAACAACCAAGAGGGAGAAAGAACCATTGGAGAAAGCTAATGCGAAGAAGCCAAAATTTACTGAAGAGGACAATTCCAAATCATTAGAAGGTACTGCTGAAGCCTCCACACAGAAGATAAAGAGCAGAACAGTTCTAGAAAAAACAAGCAAGAGGGAGAAAGAGCATGTGGAGAAAGCAAATACCAAGCTAAAACATACTGAAAAGGTCATTTCAGAAGCACTAAAAGGTCCTTCAGAAGCCTCCTTCCCCGCACCAGCTGGGATGGTAGTCCGCAGTAGCTCTAGGATTGCCAATAGGAAAAGCATATTGAAATCAAAGATGGAAGAAGAGGATAATGGCTCAGCTAACCGACCAAAGTCAAAGGTTGAAGATGACAAAGATAATCCTGCTGGACGTTCAAGAGCAAAATCACTAAGGCAAAAGACTAAAGTTGACGCGAAGAAGAAAACAAAGGAAACTAGAGCAGAAAAGCGAAAGGCTCCTAGTCCAGCTTCTCGGAAGGACGAAGAAGAGCAACCATATGATGTTGAGGGATGTTCTATCACTAAACAACAGCTGTCTTTAAGTAAGAAGGGGGCTAAAATAGAAGAAAAGCAGCAAATGGAGAAATCTAGGTACAGGGGAAGGGCTCCCCCAAGTTCTCCAAAGCGCAAGGAAGAGTATGCTTGTGACATTGAAGGCTGTTCCATGAGTTTTGGCACAAAACAGGCGCTGTCTCTGCATAAGAATGATATCTGCCCAGAGAAGGGCTGTTGCAGGAAGTTCTTCTCGCACAAGTATCTTCTACAGCACCGCAAGGTTCACAACGATGACCGTCCACTGAAATGCCCATGGAAGGGCTGCAGCATGGCGTTCAAGTGGCCATGGGCTAGGACAGAGCACATGAGGGTTCACACGGGCGACAGGCCCTATGTTTGCCCTGAACCAGAGTGCGGGCAGACATTCAGGTTCGTCTCTGATTTCAGCCGCCACAAGCGCAGGACAGGCCATGCAGGCATGCCAGCCAAGAAAGCGATAGGAAAGAAGTGAGGCAAAGCAGCAGTAACCAGTAGTCGTGGAAGGAATAGAAGACAGTTTGTACATTCCATTAGCTCCCAAAACCCATGGTGGTATCTGCTCACAATTCCATTAGTTGCTAGTTAAACAGGTTCTAATGAGCCCACAATTTGGTTGGTCCCTGTCAGTAATTTGGTTATCATTAAGACATTAACTAATTCTCATATGACTGCCTGTCGTTCATTGATCTTTTGCTGGATGATGTCTTAATTATGGTAAGCACAAGATCCGTCTAGCCCTTTTTCCTTGGTTCTACTGTTTCTTCTGTTTGGTCCCAGAGTTTCTCTAGGCTAATTCTAAAGATTGTCTGTTGCCACGTGAACACGGCAAGGGTTCGTTTGCTACTTTGCTGTCGTAAATCTGTTTTTGCTGTTAGCTGCCGCCTACCGGCTTGGGCATGTTGCTATCAGGGCTTGAGATTGCCCGCCTGGTGCGTCAGCGTCATGCACTCATGCTGGAGATCCCACAGGAGAATATCTGCTGACCAACCCTGAAAACTGGTACGGAGGCCCGTGAAGCAGGACACGCACTTCTGACGAGTTTCAGCCTGTTCGGGAGGCCGTATCGTATCGTGGATTATTTACTGCTGGCTGGTTTGGTGTGAGAGAAAAATACTGTTCCCGACTGGAAATTTACGATCGTTTACGAGCAAGCGAACAGGCTCTTTATTTTTCCCTTTGCGGTATTTCTGTTCCAGCATAACGACTTGACCTCGAAGGTTTCTTCTGCCCAATCGTTAGCACTGCGCTGCGCTGGGGCTATGCATCAATCAGCAGTGAAGATTTCAGAACAAGGCGTCACCACTTCCTGTTACTGTGATTTTTTTTTTCAGGCAGCAACCAAGACTCTTGACAGTTGCGTCCTGTGTATTGCTGGGCGCCTGGCTAAAACTACACTCTACACCTACACGTAACTTGTACTAGCATTCACTATTCAGTTCTCCTAAGAAGGCGTGAAAACGTCCAAGAATCTGTAGAGCATGGGAACGCAATCTTGTTGCTGTACCGCAGTCACAACGCCCAGAATCCTTATCGCAACCGACTTGCAACCATAGATTCATAGTACTCGTAGCTCCTCGGCCTCAGCGACCACCGCCATTAACGCCGCCTGTGATCAGTGATCTCCTCGACGGCCATCACACCATGGCTACCGAGTAGCATCCATAAAACTGCTGCACACATATCAATACGGCCGGCCCGGATCGGCCGCCCCCACCACGAAGGCACCGGACGCGAACGATCCATGGAAGGAGACGCGGATGAATCTAGCCTGAATCTTCGACGCCCCAGTGGGCAGCCCAAGAGCCCAGCCGAGGCAGCCAACTTGCTGCCGCACAGCCGAAGCCATCGGCCGGCCTCAGCCTCAACTCCCGAGCTGAATCTGACACCATCTCCCCCCGCTTTCTGTTACCGCCATCAATTCAAATCAAATCGTTCCCGCCGCAAAGGCAAAGGCGGCAAGGAGCCTCTCGCCCGCTCCGCGCTATAAATACGGCTCCTCCCTTGTCGTCCCAACCCATCAGCTCACACTCGAACAGCAGAGTGATCGAGCTCCCCAGTTGCTAGCACACTAGCACAGCCAGCCACTGACTACACACAAGGGTGCTAGTGCTAGGAAGTTGCAAGCACTTGCGGGATGGCGCAGCTCGCTAAGACGCTTCTCCTTGTGGCCCTGATGGCCGTGTCAGCGGTGGAGCTGTGCCGCGCCATCGAGTTCGACGAGCGGGACCTGGCGTCGGACGAGGCGCTGTGGGACCTGTACGAGCGGTGGCAGACGCACCACCGGGTGCACCGGCACCACGGCGAGAAGGGCCGCCGGTTCGGGACCTTCAAGGAGAACGTGCGCTTCATCCACGCGCACAACAAGCGCGGCGACCGACCCTACCGCCTCCGCCTGAACCGCTTCGGCGACATGGGCCGGGAGGAGTTCCGCTCCACGTTCGCCGACTCCCGCATCAACGACCTCCGCCGGGCGGAGTCCCCCGCGGCGCCGGCCGTGCCGGGGTTCATGTACGACGACGTCACCGACCTGCCGCGGTCCGTGGACTGGCGGAAGGAGGGCGCGGTGACCGCCGTCAAGGACCAGGGCCACTGCGGCAGCTGCTGGGCCTTCTCCACGGTGGTGGCCGTGGAGGGCATCAACGCGATCCGGACGGGGAGCCTGGTGTCGCTGTCGGAGCAGGAGCTGATCGACTGCGACACGGACGAGAACGGGTGCCAGGGCGGGCTCATGGAGAACGCCTTCGAGTTCATCAAGTCCTACGGCGGCATCACCACCGAGTCCGCGTACCCGTACCACGCCTCCAACGGCACCTGCGACAGCGTGCGGGCCCGGCGCGGGCGGGTCGTGGTGATCGACGGCCACCAGATGGTGCCGACCGGCAGCGAGGACGCGCTGGCCAAGGCGGTGGCGAACCAGCCGGTGTCCGTGGCCATCGACGCGGGTGGCCAGGCGTTCCAGTTCTACTCGGAGGGCGTGTTCAAGGGCGACTGCGGCACGGACCAGGACCACGGCGTGGCGGCGATCGGCTACGGCGTCAGCGACGACGGCACCCCCTACTGGATCGTCAAGAACTCGTGGGGACCCTCCTGGGGAGAGGGCGGCTACATCCGGATGCAGCGCGGCACCGGCAACGGCGGCCTCTGCGGCATCGCCATGGAAGCGTCCTTCCCCATCAAGACCTCGCCCAACCCGGCGCGCAAGCCCCACCGTGCACTCATCTCCAGGGACACCTCCTCCCAGTGACAGACTGATCCGATCCAGCTCGGCGTCGTTCTCGTACCACACACAGCAGCAGCTGGCACGTAAGTATACGTCGCCTGCAGGATGACATACTACTACTGTTTCCTTGTACTATTATCGATTGGGTTGTACTGACGACAGTTTGATTGTGCCGGTCTCGATCAGAGACGATATATACACACTAGAATAAAGTATAGCAGCGCGTGTGCGCAACAAAGTAAGATTAGGCGTGTGATATCAAAGTTTGTGCTTGTAATGTAATACGGTGTGCTAGCAGTTGTTGCATTGCATGCTTGCCGTGCTTGGATATGCCTGTGCTCTTCATCTTCTACCATCGGTGACGTGTCCGCGTGTGAGCTGTGACGGTCGCAGAGGATTCTCCATTTCAGAATTTCAGTTCCGCCAATTGGATCGGTAGTATAACCGGGAATGTTTAATTGGCGAAATTTAAATCAGAATACGGCTTGTTTATAACTGACAATATGTATATTTATGCTGCACTCTTCATGGACTGGGATGGATTTCCTTCAGGTACGGCATGCTCGCGTGTACAATTTCCACCGTCTTTTTTAATTGACCAATTTTTGGTAAAATACATACCCGCTGGCCTCTCCTTGGAAAGGAAAATTCTCGGGCCTGCTCGACTGCACTTCTCGTAGGACTGCACTTCTTGTAGCGCCGCGGCTGCGGCTCTTTACTGTAGCGTGAACTACTCTATTTCTAGCCGTGCCACGAGAAGGAAAACAGGTTATTAAAATTTCCACCGATAATTCTTAAATTCGATCAAATTTTAGCAAAAAATGTACTATTTGCCACGCAGCAAAGAATTTTTTACATTTATGGCTCCATTTCTGCACGGAAGTGAGGAAAAAAATTTCTATGCATGCGTGCTTTAGATGATTACCCGTGCAGCACCGCATCAACGCCGTCCAAGTGAGATGCAGATAAGTCCTCACGCACGCGTGGAAGTTGCGATCCGCTAAAACTTCGGACGAGATCGTGGCATGCAAAGCAGCGAATAACCAGCCGATCGTGGCATGCAACGCTGCCAATTACCAGCCGTCCATCAAGTCACATCAACGGCGTTGATGCGGTGCTGCACGGGTAATCATCTACAGCACGCATGCATAGAATTTTTTTCCCGGAAGTGAGCAGACTAGGTCCTTTAGATACAGGTACTAGTAATAGTTAGCAACTAAAAATAAGTATTATTGGATCAAACATGCATTTGCTAATAGGTATGTTAGAAATTGTCAAGAATTGGCATCTTAATTTTTAGCATATATATATATATATATCCATACACAGGGTTTAGCAAGTTTATCAAATCTGTCTTGGTACTGGCCGAAACGCCCAATTCAAGTCGATAGAGTGATATATGTTGGGGGCAAGAACGACCTCTAGGTGCCCCGGCGGGCCCAGGACACCGCCTTATTTTGTGGGTGAAAGTGCGTCCATCATTTCGCCATGGCGAAATGACCGGCATGCATGAGTAGGGGATGGGAGCTCGTGCCGCCGGGCCCTCATTTTGCCCAGTCGGGATGACGGCAGCAACATGAGCACCTATTCGTGACCCTGGGCTCATTTCGACGATGCGGAAGGTCAGGCCCCCTTGCCGCCGTATCACTCACGATTCGCAGTCGGCCTTGCCAATTCGCCTTAGCGAATGGGACGGCGACACCGCCAAGCAGAAGATGGGAGCGACCCAGTCTGGATCAGCACGGCCAGTAGCGTTGGGTCGACTTGGGTTATTCGCCTAGGCGAATGGTTGTTCATTCGTTTTATCGGTTTTGCAGGTTTCGCCAGAAGAGGAGTCGGCTGCCCTTGCGAAGCCAACAGCTCCTGCCCGCCTGGGCCCACGCGGTTGGTCAGGGAGCGTCATGAGGCAGAGCCGGTTGAGTCCCCTAGGGCTGGCGTTGCCCGAGGCGGGCGGCAACTCCGAATGGCGAGCAAGCCCAAAGCGCCGGGGAATATTCCCTGAATGTGTAGCAGTTGAAGGGGCATCATTGACTGATGGAGAGCCAATGGGCGTGTATAAATAGCCCCCGTTGGGGGAGTGTAAAGAGAGAGGCGAACAAGATCAATAAAGCTATTCCTTTCATTTCGTTCGTCCACGTTCCCACCTTATTTCGCTTTTTAGTTAGCCCATGCGGCAACCCGGTGTTCGAAGGCTTGGGCCTAGAACAACATTGGTCACCACCGTGGTTATTGCCCGAGCTTATCATGCCACC